GGTTCCTCTGGTGATAAATGTGACGATGAAGACATAATAAATACAACTTTTTCCGACACAGCTGATGGGCACTCGGATGATGACATTTTACCCGACTTTCAGATCAATGAAGATGATAACGAGGAAAATAACTTGACATATTATGAAGACGGTATCGTTGTCTTTGCATTTACCACTCGAGTTTCAGATGCAGACATGACCTCTCAAGTATCGGTATCCGTCACATCAGCTGCAGACATACCATCGAATTTTACCCCGGCTGCACCATCTAGTCCAGGAAATGGCGACTGGTCCGACGATAAATCGAGTTAGAGCCTATCTGCAAACATTGTATGATAGACCCTCGCGGGGTATTGCAATACGATGGTCGTGTTGTTTGAAGGACGTAATGAAGGTATTTTCAGACAGTTCTATCCTTGACTAAGGGTTATCTATAATATGGAAACACGGTCATGTACTTCAGAGAATACTTCTCGAAACGTCGTGCTAAATGTGTATAAACAAGTGATTGTTTTCCATATAAATTGTATTGTGCTCAATCATTAAATGCCACTCAAGGATTATATGGAGGAAGGTGCCGAAGAATGTTGCGCTGGCGCTCGAGTATACCTGACTGGCTGGCGTGAATTTAATAATATTTCGATCGCAATTGCGCCAGGACGTCATATACGGTAGATCATTCAGTGATCTAATGAACAGTTTCCTTGCATTTGTGGACCCACTAGAAAGGGATATTTTAAAGAAGGCTCTCACAGATTTTGACAGCGTTCAATCAGAGGAACTGATAGACGTTTTGGATCAGTATAGTTGCCGTAAGACTATCATTGCCAAAACGTTTTATTAGATATTATATCGTCATTACCTTTGCCAAGCTTCGTAACTTGATCGTTTACATATTAAAAATTAGATGAATGGGTTCCCTAACTTCTTTTAAACGAAGAGGTGTTTGGGTGGTCTAGTGGTTTAACGCGTGCGCTTGAAATCACCTGTCATTGAGTCAAGTGGTATATTTTCGATTCTCCGCTTGTACGTGACAAGGAGTAGGGTCGCATGTCCAACCATAGCTAAAGACCCCTACTCGCAAGAGAATTATTGAAATACAATTGAGCCATGCGCTAGTCCCGTGGAGCCCCCCCCCCCCACCTTTCTCATTTAAACAATTCGATTGAGCTAGAAGTTTCAGCCCCATTATGTGGTAACACGTTCCATAAAATTGCTACATTACGACTAGACACAGACAGGGGGGCCCTTACACAAGAGTCAAAGGGGTCCTTTTTTCCTATTCAGGGACAACTCGACAGAACCCGGATTTCGCGTTTTCTTTCAGTTTTCATTTCGGGCCGTAGGCTTCTAAGACCATGTCGCCGTGTATGAGGTGTTTAAGGACATGAGGTAGAAATGGTTCTACAACTAACGTCTTCCGTCTTATTTCAAAATGTATCTTGGGGCTATTATTGATGCCGGCGTTTGAATATGTCGCCATGTAAAGCTGTTATATGTAATGTTATGCTGCAGTTGTAACATAATCGATGAGCAATAAATGTTGAAGATGGTTCAATAAATTGATATTAATAATATATTCATGGGTATAATTTCTGTTCTTTTATTGTTCACCTTTGTATATTGCAAGCTGCTTTCATGTAGACCGTTTCTATGCAATAAGAGAGAGAGAGAGAGAGAGAGAGAGATGGGGTTTAACGTCCACTCAACACAAACTAGGTCATTTCGGGACTAACATATGGTTTAATTTTATTTCAATAATTCGTTTGCGCGTAGGGGTCTTTAGCAGTGGGGAGAAACCGGAGTACCCGGAGAAAACCCACGAGGTTGGACAGGCAACCCTACTCCTTGTCACGTACAACCGGGGATTACTATATATACATTAGAGACTTTTGGCAAGCGTAAATTCCTAGTCCGTATCGCGTATCCGTATGGATTTTGCGTGTGGCGTCATCAATGTGTGTGTATTTCTCATACGTGATACGGCACACGGATACGGCAGCATGTATCGAACAGCTTTCATACGGAAAAGGGCCGTATAACATTGCCGTGTCCTTTTACCGTCTTTTTTGCTTCTTTTAGACGCTGAAATGTTGTTCGAGTGGACGTTAAACCCCATCTCTCGCTCTCTCTCTCTCTCTCTCTCTCTCTCTCTGAAATGTTGTATCATGGCGTTTTTATGAATCTTTGTGTATTCTAGAACACGAACGTGTATATTTGATGTGATTTTAACCATGATGGTTGATCTACGTGCTAAATTTAGGGAGGCGGAACCTTGCAAATCTGTAAATGATTTTATTCTGTGGTAAAGGGGTATAAACTTTCTGAAATGATACCTTAGTGAAACCAAAAATTGCAATCGAGTCGAAGTCGAAGATTTTTAATAAGATTTGACATTAAATTTTCTTAATTGCTCAGCGACAAGTACTGATGGTGATCTTGGTAGATATCTGTCATCATGCTGTAATAGAACTAAGCTCAGCTGATCGAGGTACACGTACGCGACGCGAAAATCTGCCAAAACTCTAAAACTACATTGACGCAACGTATCACGCGATGATACGGATACGCGATACGGATGTGAAAAATTCCACTTGCCAAAAGTCTCTATTGTAATCATCACCGGTGCGAGTCGCATATCAAACATTTTGTGGGCTCTATTTTCTCATTCACGATATCATTATCATTAACGACCAATTACTACGCTTTGCTATCGCTGTAATTGGTGGATTAGACATTTACTTTTTGTCTCACAGCATACCGCATGGCTCACATCGTTATCCGACTTCATTAGCCTATTCGGTTAAGAAAAGTAGGACGTTAGAAAGTGAAAGCGTGTACCATACTTTACGGTTTCAAAGGCAGTGGACGACATAAGTATGCCTTGCACATGCAAAATGCATAGTTGCAATTAAGTACAAATGGCTAAAATAATCACTCGTCGGGCATAGTTATGGTTTCCTTGATATTTATAGCTCAAAACCACTTTAATAGTTTCTATTGGGCTTTGAAATTAATGTGAATAAGCTTCGTGAAAAAGCAGGGTTTTGATTTATTTTAAATGTTCCTGTTAACTTATGGATTGCAGATCCTTAATATATTTTAGTGTTTCGTTCCACAATGATTTAACAGAAAAAGAAAAGGCACATCTTCCTAAATTAAACTTTAGATTACTAAGTTGACTCTTATCGGAGGATCTAAGATATCGATGAGACGTGTGGGAGTAACTAAATCTATAATATAACATGGGGCTCTATTTTTCAGTGCTTTGTATGTCATCAATAGGATTTTAAAGGACAATATTGGTGTCAGTCATTATCACATGTGTGATAGAACCGGTTAAACACATTCCCAATAATAATTTTACCACAGAGATCATTGTTACGATAGATCAGTAATACAGGTGTCATGAATCGGAAGTGACGAACGCCAAAGGAAAACACGATCAGTTATCCCTCTATATAACTGACTGAAGCGACGAGGGAAAACAGATACACGGCCGTATTTCTGCACACTAATGATGCCTTTTCATTCAACTCTGGTTCTTGTGCAGTTGAAGTGAGATGAACAGCAAAATAATCACTAATACATGGATCTAGAACAAAAATATTATATATCATGTTCGGTTCAACCGATCGCGGCGTTAGTATTAAGTCGAGGGTATGTCCTTTGTTGTGTGTTAGGGCACAAGGCTTTTAAATCTGTTTGAAAAATTATATTTTTGGTCGTTCACATGTATGTTGAAATCTCAGCAAATGACTAATTGACCGCATTTTATGTTCAGAATTTCGAAAAATTCAGAAAAATCCTTTAGAAAATCTGCTGGTGAGATTGTGTTGTTTGGTACACGGTACACGACAACAACTCGTTAAATAGAAATCTTCCTTTGTTCTTTTCATTGAATAAGCAGATTGTTTTCCCTCTAGTAGATTGGGTGGAGATTAACTGTGCAATAACTAGACATGTTCAATGTTATTGCACTTTTTTGCTGGTTTACACTGTTTTAGTAGAAATCATATAGAGAAGTGGGGTGGGTTTTCTGTGCAATAACAACAAGCATGTTGAGCAGGTGTCAATGTTACAAGTCATTTATAGCACACTTTATTCGTTAACAGGTTTAATATCTCGGCCTACAACTCATGAAAGCCTTGCTATAAATATAACTTGACATAATTTAATGTGAATTCAATGTATTCGAATGTTGGGTATTTATGCTGGAGCTTAACATAAACTGTATAGAATTCCTACTCCACCCCCTGTATCTGTATCTCTGATATATTCTGTTAAAACTTCACTCTTATCATGAATAGATCTGATATTTAAAAGACAAAGATTAATTCCGGCACTTGATCCGGATAATATAATCCTGTGTTTAGGACTATGATTTTTCTGAGAAATTTTTCGCCCTACTGTTTTATCTCTTCTTCGAGTTCTGCAACCCCATTTCATTTCATTTCTTTTTCTGTTCACTGCTCCAAAATGCAATAAACGTCTATCGATAACCTGTCTAATATTAAAATCACCTGATCAATATTACACCTGCCTCACACGTCCAATAAATCGATAGATTTAAATGATCAATATATAATGCACGAAAATAAATTAAACTTAAATTTAAAGTGAACGCAGGAGTAACAAAAAGACTAGTTAGTTAGCCAATAATATACATAATGGAGTCCAAGAAAATAAAAAAAAATAAAAAAAACAACAAAAAAAAAAAACGCCATTCAAAACAGAGTCGCAGTGCAAATGTCTATGTTCCTTATTAATCCAGGACTGGGGTGAGTGAACTAGTAGATATAACAATTGGCTATTGACAGTTAGTCGTTAGCCTGCAGTGGTGTTGCAAATGGTTCTGATAGTGCCTTTTCCGCAGTTGACGTATAAAAAACACCTTTCCAATGTTATGGGTAGACCACCCCCTTGGTAGTTTCAGCTTTAACAGTCTAGTTTCCAACGATCTATTTTAAACTAACGACTGCTCTTGCTTCAGTTGTTATTTTTATTCACACTACTGGAAGGATCAATGCCTACTTATGCCTATATACTTATCATATTATGCAGCTTTAATAGGCTGTGTGGCCTCAGCTTCTTCGTCAGGCAATATTTCATCTCCAGGTTCGAGTAATAGCAACGGAGATAAACGTTTATGACCGAAGTGATTTCTTTTCCGAGACTCCAAATACTGTTGAAAGAACCTGATTTGAGGACTGCTGGTAAAATAATTGTCCCTTATTTAACAGTCTTTCTGGGAGTCTTGCCTTCTGACATTTCGATGGTACCGTACATGTATTGTAATGCAATACAATATCCCCATCTATCAGGAAGGAAGCAGTTCCAGTAATAGTGTATAAGGTCAGGTATATGTGTTTTATGCTAATATTTGTTCGTCGGACATTCCAATAGAGTTTAACTTAAGTGGGACAATCGAGTTAACGTAACTATCAGTAACTAGTCGCCCCACTCCTATACATCCTTGCCGAAACATTTAGGGAACATGCCCACACCCCACAACTGCACCTCCAGTAGGTTTTAATCTGAGTTCATGTCCTGACAAATCAAGACCTAGCTTTGTCTAATTCTTTCCCCTAGCCTTTTTTAGAAAGATAAAGTCCCAGTTATGTCAATTTTGAAAATTCTGGAAGAGATTCCGAACGTGGCATTCTTTATATTATACACTGAATAATCTACTTTTTCAAAGATATATCCCCGACCATTTCAGGAATATACTCTGTAGGATCGACTTCTAAAAATCCGTCTCCCCTAGTCCCCTTGTGAGGCACTCGGCAAACCTCGGCAGATTCCGGTACTCTACATCCACGTTGGCGTGAACACAAAAGAACATTGAAAGTTGGAGTTCGACGAAGAGTAGGTGGAAACGCCGCTGTCCGGGAAAAATTTCCCTCGTATCACACTGAATGGCGCATGCTTGTCTTCATTACCCGTGTCGGTTTGGTCATGGTCCACGGTTTGGTGCACAAAGAACGGCAAACCTCATTTCATTCGCCCATAGCCAACAGTTAAAGAGTTATACATCTCGGATTATGAATAGTTATTTAGTAAATTGTACATTCTCTTTTGTCTTAAATTCAGATGATGCGAAGACCTAGATTTAAATGTGTTTTTATGCTTGTGGCAGCCATTATAATATATTATTACCTACTTTCGAAAGCTTCAAAGAACTCCCTGACCCAATTAATAGCTCTTACAAAGACAGATAAATATAAAGACCGTGTAAATGTATTGATTAATCAGCTGAATAGTAAACATGACGTACATCCTAAGAAAAGTGTTAAAACTGATATTCCGTATGAGAATAAATTGAATGATAAAAATGACGTACATGATGGGGAAAGTGTTAAAACTAGCATCCCGTATAAGAATCAGTCGATTAATGAAAATGGCGTGCATCCTAATGAAAGTGATAAAACTAATATTCATTATAAGAATGTGTCAACTGTAATAAAGAAAAAACCAAAAATCTTTACATTTCACTGGTTTAATGCCCCAACCTATGTGGATTTGAAAAGTCTACCAGGCTGGCTATCCCAATGCTCAAACCTCTGTCAATATACGAAAAACGCCACAAACAGTGACATTCTTATATTTGAGGGAAGTTCCTTATCCGGCAACCCACCCTTTAAAAGAAGAACTAAAACAAACCCCAATCAAATTTGGGTTTTCTATGAAATGGACCCTCCTACTTCTACCAAAGCGAAAACATGGCGACGAGCAGCATGGAGAAGAAAGTTTAATAGGACGATGTCCTATCGATTAGATTCAGATGTGTATACACCTTACGGAACCTTTGAAAAAAGGTCCCAGCCACCAATGAAAAATTTCGCTGCTATTATGGATCAGAAAACAAAATTGGCCGCCATTTTCTCAAACAATTGTGGAGTGCCCAGTAAACGCATGGACTATGTAAAATTACTACAAAACTATATACCAGTGGATTTTTATGGAAGCTGTGGAGATATGACGTGTAGTATGGTTGCTAATAGTGACAGAAATTGCTTTGATTTAGTAGAAAAAAACTACAAGTTTTATCTTTCTTTTGAAAGCGCCTTCTGTAAAGACTATGTATCCGAAACGTTCTACCGTAGTGAAGCCTTGGATGTAGTGACTGTGGTCCGGGGCGGAGCGGATTATTTAAGGCTGTCACCAGAAAAGAATTACATTGACACAAACGATTTCAAGTCGGCGAAAGAATTGGCGAGTTATCTTCTATATCTGGATAAAAACGAAACGGCTTATAGAGAGATTTTGGAAAGAAAGTGGAATTATGACGTCACACGGATAGACTCGCATAACTTAACTAAACAATACGTATGTGAAATGTGTTTGAAGGCAGAATTTTGGTCTAAAAACGTGAAAATGTATGACGGTATTGCATTTTGGTATGAACTTGATAAATGCCAGGAACCTACAGATATTCGTTAACCATTTATACCTATAAGCGTACGACACACAGTAAAATTAAATGAGTTTTATCGTCTTATATTTCTGCACCATGTGAACCTCTAGATATTCGTAAACACATTACCAGGGCCCTGTTTCTCGAAATTTTAAATATAAAGATAAAATCCAAATTTTAGTAGATACTTCAATTTTGATTGGCTAAGTACTAAAATCAATCTAATATTATCCAATCAAATTACTAAAATTTGGATTTTATCTTAGTTAAAATTTCGTGAAACAAGCCCCTGGACATACGACAAACAACACACAGTAAAATGAGATGTTGTTTATCGTCTTCTTTGTTTTTCTGCACGATGCAGTGTGCAATATGCGGGATATGAAATGGGGGTTTAAAGGGCGTATGGCTTCATTTTTTTGGAACTATAAATGGGTCTAAGGCACATATTAATGTAATATGGGTGTATATAAAGTGATTTATATTCAATTTTTTAAAAAAAATAAATAAAAAAAATTGTAATTTCTAATCAATTATGTTCTGTGAAATACGCGAACAGTCCAAGCTGGATGACAATCTTTTACGCCAAATTAGCCCATTCTTCACATTTTTTTTTATTATTATTTTATCATTTGTGAATCAACCATTACTATTTACTGCCGCATTGTAATTTAAAATATGTTTTTGTTTGTTCATTGCTTTTGCTCCCGAAACGATAGAGTACACGACTCGTGTACGGATTTTAAAATGTTCATTGTGTCTTAAATATTGGAGATTAGGATCCCACGTTTTCACGGCAACAAAACAACATCAATATGGATTGGATTGGGCCAATATTGAATTCTAATTTGTGTTTTTAATTTCGAATATTATGGAAAATATTGAGTAAGAGACTTAGCTCCTTTAACGTCCTACTGTTCTGAACTGACTAAGCTAATGAAGACGCGCATACTCCATACATATGAGGGACAGCGGCACTACTGCCCACTCACTCTTCTATCGAACTCCAACTGTCAAGGGTTCTTTTACCTGCACGCTATAATGTGTACACGGGACCTTGGTTTTTCGTCCCATCCCAGCGACTTCTGTCAAGGCACAGACTGCCTACGATCTTATTAAACATCTAATTAATTCAATATGTCCTTTACAAGCTACACATGATCTGTATATAACACTCGGCAGAACTTCAAAGAGAATGTAGTAGTGGACAGTGTATCATACTATGACCTGACAATGACATCAAAGGAAATATGCAGTGTAATTACAGACACCATAATTTGATAAATAAACAATACCATGATCACTCTTGTTCATCTTCCCTAATTGTTGAACGCTATGTAAGCAGGCGTTTACTGACAGTAAGTAAGACTTGGAATAGAGCTCCTCACGAATTATGTCTATTTCATGTTCTTAATAAAGGTCTTATCAATTATGCTGATCTTCTGTTATCTGTAGTATTACACATGAAGATCTGACAAGTTTTACTCAAAGGTCGCGTCAGGGGTCGTACGAGCGGCTTTTGACCCTATGACGTCAGACATTGATTAATCAATCAGCGTTGACGTTTCTAGAGGTTTACCCACAGTTCCGTGCATGGCACACCAAGAAGAAGTCGCCGTAACAGATGGTTTCACTGGCTAATATCTCACGCCATCCAGAACATCATATTTAGCACCGGGGGTTGGGGCGGCGTTGGATTAGACGGTCTGTTATTGAGTCAAGTGACGTGGTTTCGATTTCCCGGTTGTACGTCACAAGGAGTAGGGTCGCCTGTCCAACCTCGTGGTTTTTCTCCGGGTCCTCCGGTTTTCTCCCAGTGCTGAAGACCTCTATGCGAAAGCGAATTATTGAAATAAAATTGAACAATACGTTAGTCCCAAAATGACCTAGTTTGTGTCGAGTATCCCGTTTTCCTGTATAAAGGTGTCCAGGTTGCATATATCATACATATGTAACGCAGTCTCAAAATTAAAAGTAGGACTGTTTACCTTGACTCGTGTAGGGCGATTTGCAGGACTGCGAACAAATTCAGAAATATAATATTATCTAACTAGAAGAATGCCCGGAAGTGCTAGACTAACGCCACCTGGCCTATGTTACTCCCCGGTCCGAGCTACCCCTATACCCCAAATTTCAGACTCGGGGCAGACCTAGTGTAGCCGCCAACCCCGAACAGACAGACAGGCAGACAGACAGACAAACGACAGTCACAAATATATATATAAGAAGATAGAAGATTAGGACTTAAAAAAAATATGTATGACCGACCGTGGCGGATGAACACATTTGAGGTTCCCTGCAAAAGAAGAAAAATGGACGTATCGAGGTGATTTTTTTGCACATGTGTATTTTTGTTTTACAGCTTTAGATACCCAAAGGAATTAAATGCTTTGCACGTATCAGGGGTCGGTTGTTCAAAGCTCCGTTAACTGATCGTTATCTTTAACGGTAAAAATTTCTGTTGCTGGAAGCCCCGTTATATTTAATGAAGGTGTTGGGCTCCGTTATCTGTTTAATGATAGCTTTAGTCCGCTGTCAGTCGAAGTATCCTTAGCAAAAAGTCATAGATTACCAGTGTAGTTTTATAGAACATTCTAGAGGGATGGTGATGGGGGCTATCCCATTTTCTATAGAATAAAATTATATAGTATTCTACAGAATTTGGGGGGATTTTCGGAAATAACGGCCCTAAATATTTTACAGTTTCGTCATGGGGTGCAAATCCTGTAATTTTTCCTACAGATTTATGCTAAAATTTCTATAGGAAAATACTACAATAGTATTCTATATATTATTTTATAGTGTTTCCTATAGGTAATATTCAACAGGTATCTTTTTGTCTTTAATCAAGTTTTGTGAACAGACTGCACGTTGTCCCACTTTCTTCAGTTCTTGTCAATACCGGTACTAACTTCTATAAAGTTGTTATACATATACACTGATATAACATTTAAAATTCAGCCATTGACCAGTCTTCTCTTGGATTAACTTTAATCTCCGTTAGCTGACGGGTAATGAAATAACTTCCCAGCAACAGAAATTTAACGGACCGTTAACAGAGAGAGAGAGAAATGGGGTTTAACGTCCACTCGACACAAACTAGGTCATTTCGGGACTAACATATGGTTTAATTTTATTTACATAATTCGCTTGCGCGTAGGGGTCTTTAGCAGTGGGAGGGAACCGGAGGACCCGGAGAAAACCCACGAGGTTGGACAGGCGACCCTACTCCTTGCCACGTACAACCTGGGATTCGAAACCACGCCAGTCGACTCAATGGCAGACTGTATGATACAGCGCGCGCACGCTAACCATTCAGCCATCCAACCCCCCAGACCGTTAACAAACGACACGTTAGCAAGATGTCGATATAATATCAGAGCCCTGCCTAATTACATCAGACAGAAGTTGGAAACGTCGACGTTTAAAATAATTCTTAAATAAAAGTTTCAAGAAAATTAACGGCGTAGCCCTGTGTTTATAAACAAAATGGATTTTTTTGTCATGAATTATTGACAAAATTGCGTCTGTAATTCAATTGAATTGCTTCGGTGGGTCGTTGGGTTGGTGACAATCTTTTCAGACCTGTCTGTAATCCATAACCTATCCGCAAAATTGATTGCGGAAATGGAGGTCTCGATCCGCGAACAAACATTGTTGAAAGCTTTAATTTAGGGCAATCGTTTCATTTATGGTATTGTCATGAAATCTTGACTGATTTCCTTCTCAATTAAATATAGGTTAGTTAATGGCATTGCTGATAAGCTATAATTTATAACACTAAAGCAATAGTAGCAATGTGGTCTACGCTTCAGCCACTGCTGTTCCATGCACTGCTAGCCTAGATGTTTCGGTTACAACACGGCCAACCCGAGTTACTATTAATAGGCCCCAACTATCATTTAGCTCTTATTACTATTGGCACGACAGGTAGCACCTAATTAATAAGCTGTAGCCCCATCGGTTAACAGTATTATGCAGGCTTTACTTTACCTCTTAAAGTAGTTACTTTAGTAAATCTTGCCGATGGAACAGTGCACATGAGGCTAGTACTAGTACTAGAAAAGATAAACAATTATTTATTACTACTATGCTGACGGAGCTAGATCACTCTAAAATCTTCCATTGTGATATTGTTTCCAGTAATTGAACTGGAAATACACTAGAACACAATTCAATGGAATACAATTACTGTGTATTACTGAGTGATGTTTGGACATTGATTCCAAATTTAGTCTTTATCAAAATGTAGCTAAGTAATAAACAGAAGCCTATTAATTATTGTAATTTGTATTCCATAGTTTCAATATCCTGTGTAAATATATTTCCATTCTTTGAATTAAAGATACTTTCCCATGTACAAACTGTGTGATTTGATGATATATTTGGACTAAAAACATATTCAAACTAATTAATCTGTCAAAAATTTACTTCAAATCCCTCTTAAAAAATTGCTTTCATGGGGAGTTACCTCAAGCTCAAGCTATCTATACTAATATTTGTGACTGTCGTTTGTCTGTCTGTTTGTCTGTCTGTTCGGGGTTGGCGGCTACACTAGGTCTGCCCCGAGTCTGAAATTTGGGGTATAGGGGTAGCTCGGACCAGGGAGTAACATAGGCCAGGTGGCGTTAGTCTACCACTTCCGGTTTCGGGGTTATGACCCCCGAGCGAAGCCGGGCATTCTTCTAGTAAATAATAAGCTGTTGCTACACGCCTTGTCTGTCACCTCAATTTATTGAGGGAGGGTCGATTTTTCAGGTCTAAGTAAATTCTTGATTATTTTTTGTCAACTTCCTTTTCCGCCGGAGTCTATTGTAAGTTGACACTCCTCAATGTTCCCAAAACCATCTAACCGTTTGATCAAGAAATAACAACCGCTCCCTCAGTGAAGCTAGCATACAATAAACCGGCAGACAACAGTCAGGTTGCCAGTTCTTAACACCCTGACATTTTTGCCCAGTGCTTGCCTCGTGGGTGTTTTTCAGGGAATCCAGTATTTTTCTAGTAAGATTGTACTTTCTATATATACAAAGTGTACCAAATTTGCCATACTTTTATTGGAAATAACTACCAAATAAATACTTTCAGGCCAATGTATCTTTAATTCAATGTTTCATTTTTACAGCAAGTAGTTTACATGTGAAAAGATGGCATCTACCAATAAGAAATCTGCTAACCAGTTTATTTCTGCCCTGGTGAAGAATTTACAAGCTGTGTGTCACGGCCATGTTGAATTTGATAAAAATGTGAAAGTAGTGGGCCATTTATATTTAACTGTTGACAGTAACTCAGAATTTAATTATATCGTTAATGAAAAAGTGTCCAAAAGTGACGAATCTTCAACTACTTTTATCAGTAAAAGTTTTTATGCCACTGATCTTCAACAAAAAACACCAAAGAAAAATGTAGACAGGCCTCTTCCTCTCATAACTCCAAATGTATTAGGAAAAACTCGATATGATATTACTGTTGATTTAACCAATGAGTTTGCATCAACAGACAAAAGACAATCTGTGCCGTATGTAATTTCACAGAATCAATCCCTTGGGCCACAGAGGCGTAAAAGTCAAAATGATGTGCAATATCCTCCACTGGGCAAAAGACAACGATTGTCACCAAATGAGCAAAAGTCTGTTAATTTTCAGTTACCCCGTAAAATGTCCTCAAGGTCATCATCCACTATTCCGTCAACTTCAGTGTCTGTTGAAACAATAAATAATGCTGCGTCCCGTCCAACCGCCACGCCATCAGCTACACCAATTGAATCTTTACCTGGTACAGACAAACCAGAAACCATTGACAGTGCTGTTGGTGGTATGTTGGATCCCAAGTCAATCAAAATTGAAAACAAAGTGACACAAGAAGGAGAAGAAAAAGAACTTAGAATAGAATCTGTGACTAGTCATGATTTATCATTTGTGCCTGAAACTGAAAAAGACAAAGACAGTGAAAGTAAAAATAGTGAAACTAGTGACTCTGATAAACCTGCATCAGATCCTCCTCCAGAAACTCTTTCAACAGAAGAAATGGAACTAATCACACCAAATAGAAGCCCCCCAAAATCCAATGAACATGAAGTCATAGAAATAGATTTAACTAAAGTGAAAGAAGAGTTCAGAGACTTTGGGGATTCTGAATCAAATTCAATGTTTGACTCTTCAGTTAATCATGGTAATGATTTTCTTTGAAAGTATTCATTTAAATAATGATCACTTAAATAGCTTTGCATCAAACAAAAATTCATAAATGTCATTTAAATGTAGACTGTGGTAGCGGTCATGTATACGACATTGAAAACACCTTGAATTTTAGTGTCATTCTTACCACTGCCTTGAAAAGTCCTTAAACTTGATCCATAGTCTATGCACGTCTATTTTTGTCACCAAAACACTCTCCCACTCTCTGAACACTTATAAAGGGCCTTGCAAGGAAATGCATCTACCCAAAGTCTTCTCCTGTGTACATGCTGGCATGTATGTTAAAAAACCCTTGGCTGTTGGAATTCTATGAAGAGTAGGTAAAGTGCTGCTGTCAGTGCATGAGGGAACCATGATGGCTAAGTGGGTAGGACGCAGGCTCACCAGCCTGGTGGTCGATCTCTGCATTGGCCGACAAAGTTCATCAGGGTTTTCCGACGTGGTTTCCCCTTGTCAATGGTACAGGATGGAGGGCCTGACAAGGACAACAGTCTAGTCATTCGGATGGGACAGAAAACCGAAGTCCCTTGTATATATTGGCGAGCATGTAAAATATCCCTTGGCAGTTGCAATTTGATATAAGACTGGGCCATAGTGCCGCTGCCCAGCCAAAATTTCCCTCAAGGCACACTGTATGGCGTATGCCCGTCTTTATTAGCCCAGTTGGAGTAGAGCAGTAGGATGTCAAACCCCATTTCATTTTATTTCATTTGTCAGTGCATGGTGTTTGTCCATCTTAGAATATCGGTTACGACTAAAATCCATATTTCCAGGCCTGTCAATATTGTTTTTTTTTTGTTATTTTATAGGTGAAGCAAGTTATTCTGGTGTAGGAATAGAAACAAATGATGACGATGAGTTTTTCAAACGTTTACAAGAACAAGCAGTAGGAATTTATCCCCTTGGTTTACACGCTAATGAATCAAATATTCAGAATTCAAATTTAGACACTAGTATTCCCAACCTACCAGGTGTTTCATTACGTCAGACTAGAAATTTATCAGGTGAATATTTTAATTGTATAAATATATACACAGTACACAATTGTGCGGAAAACAATTACTGTTTATTATTGAGGGATGTTTCTGTAGTCTTTATCAAGCAATGTCCATTCGAAATGTCACTCAGTAGTAAACAGTGGGTAGTTATATATATATAGTTCATAGAATTCAGACTGACCTTAAAAATATCTCTGTTTCATTAGTAGTAAGAGAGAGAGAGAGAATCAGGGTTTAACGTCCACTCGACACAAACTAGGTCATTTCGGGACTAACATATGGTTTAATTTTATTTCAATAATTCGCTTGCGCATAGGGGTCTTTTTAGCAGTGGGAGGAAACCGAAGGACCCGGAGAAAACCCAAGAGGTTGGACAGGCAACCCTACTCCTTGTCACGTACAACCGGGGATTCGAAACCACGCCAGTTGACTCAATGACGGGCCTTATGATACATCGTGCACGTGCTAACCATTCGGCAATCCCCCCCCCCCCCATTAGTAGTAAACAGTGGATAGTTATAGGCTATATGCAAACTTTATGTTGTGGTCACTGTTACTTTTACTTTTGAAATGTTAGTTTTAGTTTACATAATTCTATGTAAAGTAAGTTATGTTCTATTGCATTGTAAAAATTTTCCGTCCAAATGTAACATGCGCTCCAACATGAATAATGCTCATAAATCAGTTATCTGTTGGAGAATATGTTTTGTCTTTATTTTTTAGATTGATATTAAGACAAAAACCTAAAATATTATATTAATGGCATATGAATATTCAAAAATTCTAAACTTTTGCAATTAAGAACATATCTGTAGCACATGTTACACAACTTCTTGCATTTTCCATGCACAAAATAACACACAATACATTCGAATCACCTATTCACAAATTACCATGGAGTATTGTATTGAAGAGACATTCAACTTCATCCCTGTACTATCCTTAATGTTCATTCTACCATTCTAGAAAATATTTATATTGTTGTTACTTGGGAGTCTGTGGATCAGAATGTGTATGGTGCTGGTTTCATCCTGGCCCTGGTTTCACAAAGCATTCTCAGACTTAAGAATTTACTCAACTTTCAATCACTGTTTATGAGAAATATCTTTGATCCAGAAACACAAAACTTTGCACATAGTTTCTTATTGATGTATTTGATACATTAAAACAACAAACGTTTTATAAAGGGATATATTTTAGTTAAAATAAGGCAACCAATTTTGAGTAAATTCTTAAGTCTGATATGGTTTTATGAAACTGGGCCCTTGTTTTGGTTTTGAAAGATTTTTGGGATTGAAGAAACAAGGTCCACCTGTGTACTGTTTGGCTTGCAATTGACAACCCCTGAAAAAAAAAGCTGATGTCTAGGTATAATTTCCCTCATAGCACAGCAACGCTACACCCTTCTCTCATTTCAAATTCCAACTGTAAAGGATTCTTTCATATGCACACCTACTTGTACTCAGGATCTCGGGTTTTTCATCCAAATAACTTGATGTTGTTCCTTGCCAGACTCTCTGTCCTGTACCACTGACAAGTGGAACTTGGAACCATGCCAGAAAAATCCAAGAAACTATCTTGGCCAGTGCCTTACCCACTCATGAGCTGCTGCTGCTTCCTGTCTTATTTGAAGTCAATGTATATAATAAAAGTAATACAGCAAACAATGATTAAATTTTGTTGCCGTTTCTTCTCATCAGCCATATTTTCTGTATGGTTGGTTTAACATTTTAGTAAATCTACGGTTATTTGTTACCAAATCCACAATTCAATATATACTGTACCAAAAGAAAGATTTAGGCGAGTGAGATAAGTACAAGCAATTACTCATGCAGAATAATTTGCATACCTAGCCATCAAAGGCATTTTGGAACACAGATTGCACAAAATTTATCTCTATATGATAGGTAGGTACTTATTTTGTTTGTTTTTCCCCCATTTGCATCATTGCTTGGATTTAAATTGATGTCATGTTTGCTACTATATTACTATTCGATTTGTATTTCTAGCCATGGTTCAGAGAAACTAACTAGCAATATATTAATTGGAATGTATGAAATGGGGTTTAATAAATGCAAATGTAGATTTGATTATCAAAAGATAATATTACATGGTTATAGATTTATATCATCATTGAATTATATTAAATATAACTCTATTGCACTCTCACAACATCACTATTGCTAACAGTTGAAATAATAGGTCATAAATAATGAGTTTAAAATTTCTTCACTATATATTATATCTAGGGTGCATGCTATGTTATTCAGGTTTTAGACAAGGTATATAGTGTGATATTCACGGTTTGTGATTTATATTGCCCATCTGAGACTCAAATAACTTTATGTCATCCACTGTCATGAAAATATATAACCAGGATGTTGCTGTGTAAGCTGATATACCTTGGATGTTCAGTCAATAGAAACGTCTGTTACATACCAAACTGAAATAGATATATATATATATTGTCGTCGCAGGGTTAATACCAAAAAAGACTCTTTTTTTAAAAAAAAAAAAAAGAAGGAAATATTTGAAATTAAATGTTTTAATTGTTACTGTAGTTGTTAAATCACACTTAACCAGCTTTGATAATCAAGCATAGACATTTTCAAAAACATAGTTGATATAGACTGATAACTGTATATATTCAAATTGAAGATATATCTCTTTGACTTTTATTTTATTTAACAATTTGCAGATAAAATGGTGTTTCCAGAAACAGTTCACAAAACGGAGACCTTTGAATGTGACACTTGCCTGAAAACATTCAAGTATAAGCATAACTTGAGACGGCACTTAAGGGTGCATAGTATTCCCATAAACCTAGTTTGTTCATCATGCACGCAGTATTTTCAGTCTGAGGATGAACTTGAAAAACATAAAAAAAGACAAACATTCAGACAGATTTCTCTGTACATCCTGTGGGAAGACATTTAGCAGAAAGCATAATTTAAATGTACACATGAAATTACATAGCGGGAAGGACACGCCAGGAGTTTATGTGTGTCCTTTTGAAAAATGTAAACAAAAATTTACACGTCTTGCTAAGTACCAGGACCATTTAAATATCCACATCCACGCTGAGTCCTATTCATGTGAGTTGTGTGCTAAAAAGTTTGGTAGTCGTTACAGAAAGAATGACCATGAGAAAGTCTGTAGTGGCCTAATTGATTTGAAATCAATGTGACGAATGTTTGACATCATTTAAAGATAGCACTTCTCTTCGCAGACATAAACAATCACAGCATTTGAAAAGAAAATTTAATTGTGAATGTGGAAACGTCTATAAGTATCAAAGTTCTTTGTACAAACACAAGAAGTGTCAAATTCATTAGTTTTACAATGACATCACCCTAATATAATACAGCAAGAGGAATTATGCAAGAGCTAAATCTACTTATTGCATGTCTTGTTTTAAGCTTCAAATGTTATATAAATGATTATTTCGACATTTATTCAAATGGCAAGCCCATAATCAACTCTCTAGAACATATGATGGCTTAGATATTGAGTGGGTTAGACAATGTCCACCAAATCTGTGTTAATGATATGGCTTCCAATCGTGGAGACTGCCGATAGAAATAACCAAAAATCAAGTCTTTGTCACAGTGACAATGGTACTTGACAATCATATATAAGAACTATCAATAAGCAATTGTCAAAACTTCAAACAGTCATAACTTTGCTCAGAATAAAGTAATTTGACAGAAATTGTCGGCTGTTTATCTAAATCTTACATAATGCATCTTGAGCCTTTTTGTTAGACCTTTTCCCCAGGTACATTTACGTTCTGAATAGTATTGATGTTAAGACATTTAGCTACTTTTTTAAGTTGAACTATGTTTGTTATCCTTGCTGGACAATCTTTATAATTAATTTACTATGTTTTACAGTGTTTTATTTGTTCTTTATTATTTAAACTGTATTACATTTAAATAAAAAATTGTTTAAAATTAGTTTTTTTTATGCTTTGTGTAACAATTTGAGAAGAAATAGATACAGGCTGATTCTATTTTGTAGTATTGCATTTAATACATTTCCATATCTCATGTATATCCAGGTGTATTTTCTTGGTCATTACCGGGATCGAAACTGAGACCTCTGGTCAGTGAGCTACAAGCTTACTCAATGAGCCACAGAGGCTCATGTCCATTATTAACCCACTTTTCTGGCGTGGTTTCCCCTTGTCATTAGTGCTGGATTGAGGGCAAGGACAACTGTCTAGTCATTTGGATGGGATAAAAAAAAAAAACAAGGTCCCATGTACACATTGGCATGCCTGTAAAAGATCTCTTGGCCCACCTTCTTTGATAATAATATCATAAATAATGTATTGGACATTAAAATTGTAGTAAACAACAAGTTTGGCTCAACCTTGTGGGTTAACTGCATGATGTTCATGGGAATCCTCTCACTATCAAAGAATGTACCATAGATGGTGTGTACGTAAAAGAACCCTTGACAGAAATGCCACTGTCCATGAAAAATTTCCCTTATAGAACACTGTGGCTCAGGCTTGTGGGTTAACTCTGCCTGATGCTCACCAGGATACTATCAAAAAATGTAGATGGCGTGTACGTAAAAGAACCCTCGACCATTGGAGTTCAATAAAGGGTAGCCAGAAATGCCACTGTCCATGAAAAATTTCCCTTATAGAACACTGCATGGCATATACCTGTCTTCATTAGCCTGTTTGATTCAGAAAAATAAGATGTTAAACCCCATTTAATTTCAGTTCATTTATCCGTTCATTCCCTTAATAAAATGTAAACGTGTATTTTTTTTTTTTTGTAGCTGGTACAAGTAGTTCCTCTGCTGGAAGTCAACCAGTAAGTTTATATTATATATTTAAACATACTATTAAAGTTGGTGATCGTCATTTGTATCTGTCACTAAACTCAAGGTACTCAATCTGATTAAAATACAAATCCTATTTCCTTTCGTTTTTTATAGTTCGAGATTTCGTTTAACTTGCTTTCTACCCATTTGAAACATCAACGCTGATTAGTTAATTAAATGTCTGATGTCATAGGGTCAATAGTTGCTTGTATGACTCCTGACGCGACCTCCCGCTACAACTTGTCAGATCTTCAAGTAGTGGAGGCCATCGAAAGTATAAAAAACAAAACGAAATATAGATCTGTATTTTAATCGGATTGTCAAGGTACTCAAATTAATTATTTAACATTTAATTAAGAAAAGAAAGACAAAATATTAACAGTAGATTATCTCCCTGCTTGGATTCTATCTGATTCAACAGAAGCAGATAAAAAAATTGTACCCAACACTGGCTTGTTCACATTGTCTGCATAGGATACTGAATATTGCCTATTTTTCAATTCATTATATTTTTGTATATACTGAACAGAACTGAGCCATTGCTGGACTTGCATCCCTTTTAGGGGATTAAACAATGCCTCCTGTCTTCAACAGACTGTTTGGTGTAGATATGTAGGACATTAAACCCTATTTCATTTTAAAATGCCTCAAATGACGATCAGCAGCTTTGAAGAAAATTAATACCCAAGGAGGTATAGGTAGATTTCACATGTCCCATAAAAATAAAACTATGAAATTATAGTTAGTTTGGGTGAAATCATGTCAGGTACTCAAACTCAGTCACACACTTAGTCTTCTATACATAATGGTTAAATCTTCACATTTCAGTCACATTTGTACTGCGATAATCCTTATTTTGTACGCCCACATTATAGCTAGAATCTTGAATTTAATTCTGCGATAATCCATGTTTTGTATGCCCACATAGCTAGATTCTTGAATTTTATTCTGCAATAAACCATGTTTTGCACACCCATATTATAGCTAGAATGTTCAGTTTTATTCTGCCATAGTCCACGTCTTGTATGCCCTCATAGCTAGAATCTTGTAATTTCATTCTGCAATAATCCATATTTCTTATGCCCTTATTATAACTAGAATCTTCAATTTTATTCTGTGATCATACATATTTTGTACCCACATTATAGCTAGAATCTTCAGTTTTATTCTGTGGTAACCCATGTCTTATATGCTCACATTTTATCTGAACTCTTATTGTCGTCAATAGTGTCCATTGGTCCTAACTTTTCTTGGGAACGCTATACATACTACAGCTTCTTGTCAGATTTTTTTTCAGATTCACATGGATTGTCCATTCAGTTTTGATCGCAATTTTCAGGGTTGTCTTCAGATATACAATCAAACTTATGAACTTGATGCATGGCAATGTTTATAATATAATATTTTAAGACTTGGTGAGATGGTTCATTAGGGTATCAGGAAGGGCCCTATTTTAGGGAGTTACCTTTATGTTCAAATTTTGACTAAGTTAGTAAAGGTTGTGAGTTAAATACAGAAAAGGGTTCTCAATGGGAGATTGCTCAGCAGATAAACTGAAGGGTTTTACTAATATTCAGACTTTTATTTAAAAACTTCGTTAACAAATACACATTTCGAAAGGTATATTAACAAAATGGGTTGGTTAATAAAATACAATAAATACACATTAATTTTGTTGGGTAGTAACAGAATGCAATAAATACACATTCATTGGGTAGGTTAACAATAATGTGCAATAAATACACTTTCATTGGGTAGGTTAACAATATACAATAAATATACATTTGTTGGGTAGATTAACAAATTGAAATAAATACACATTAATTTTGTTGGATTAGATAACAAAAATGCAATAAACACACATTCATTGGGTAGGTTAACAAACTGCAAAATAAATACACATTTGTTGGGTAGATTAACAAAATGCAATTGATACAAATTTGTTGGGTAGATTAACACATTTGTTGGGTTTTACAAAATGCAATTGATAACACATTTGTTGGGTAGATTAACAAAATGCAATTGATAAACATTTGTTGGGTTTAATAAAATGCAATTGATACACATTTGTTGGGTAGATTAACAAAATGCAATTGATACACATTTGTTGGGTTTAACAAAATGCAATCGATACACATTTGTTGGGTTTAATGAAATGCAATCGATACACATTTTCTGGGTAGATTAACAAAATGCAATCAATATACATTTGTTGGATAGGTCAACAAAATGCAATAAATACACTTTTGTTGGATAAATTTTCTCAATACTTTTACTCTTAGATATGAAGTACTGAATTTAAAAATTAGTTGAATTTCAAAATAAGTGTGACAAATCTACTTGATGTTGATTACAGGTCCGTGGTTGTACAGAGCAGTGGACACTTACCGCTTGTCCTCGGATCCATTCACTTGATTTGATATTTGTAGTATATTTCTTGCAATTTCTATGTAGTTTGTTTTGTCTACAGGTTTGTCTTGTCGGTTTTGCTTTGCGTGTAGTGCAGTCCCCCTGCACTTAGAATTATATAAGTTATATCTTGAAAGAGTTTCTGTCCAACCTCGTGGGTTGCCTCCGGGTTCTCCGGTTTTCTCCCATTGCTATAAAGACCCCTACGCGCAAGCGAATTATTAAAATAAAATTGTTAGTCCCGAAATGACCTAGTTTGTGTTAAGTGGACCTTAAACCTGATTTTTCTCTCGTGGGTTTCCTCTGGGTTCTCCGGTTTCCTCCCATTGCTATAAAGACCCCTACGCACAAGCATATTATTAAAATAAAATTGTTAGTCCCGAAATGACCTAGTTTGTGTTAAGTGGACCTTAAAGCTGATTATTCTTTTTCTCTCTCTCTCTAGAAAGAGTTCAGATTTTATAAAAGACAAAGCTGTTTCTTGTCGAGTAAAAGTGCATAATTTGATCAGATGCATAATAATGGCGAGTAGTTCAGTATTGTAGAATAATAAAAACTCTTCTGTCTGAATTTTTGACGCTTTTTAACTCTGTACAAGATGACTAACAGAATTATAGCCCTTTATTCATTTTACTACTTCGCATACTATTTTATGTACACATTTACAAAATTTTTTTAGAATTTGATTTACAGAAGAAAAAAAGATAAACATGCATCAAGCAAGAACTAAATCTGCCTATTGTAGGTCTTTCTTTAGGCCTGAAATGTTATCTAATTTATTAATTAGTAACTTATCCAGACCATAATCAACTCTCGATGCCATCATTAACCCACGATATTTAGTGGATCTGAATACATTTTGTGATGGATGATTTAATGTAAAAATGGATAATCGAGACTTCGTTTATTATTGCACCAAAGTTAGTAATGACAGTCAAGTCTAAAACTGAATCGCTAATATCTCTGTTCAGGGTGAAGCAATTTGACTGAAATTTTCAGCATATTCTGTTTTCATTATCTACTTTTTAACTATTATAGGGAGAACTGTCAGCTCTTTATCTAATCTTACCTAATTCCCCTTTAATATTGAGGACTAATTAACTTGCAACGATGTCATCCCTCTCAGTGATAGTAGCAGCAAAGCGAATATTTACTGCCGATCAGTTTGCTATTTCTTGTGTTGTTTTATGAAGAAAGATAAATAAAATCTGATTGGCTAACCAAAAGTAATTATCCAAACACAATACGGATTTAGCTAATGAATGATCACAAAAATGTAGACGTCACAACAAGAGTTCAAGGGTTATAAGGTTGTGAACTTTGTATTAGTAAAATTCTACAGTTAATTTCTTCACTATGGAAAGTGATTTTAAGTCAGAGCACCTTGTCAGTGGTGCAGGACAGAGGGTCTGACAAGGGACAACCTATATTCGTTCTGATGGGACAAAAAAAAACCTGAGGTCTCATGTACACATTGGCGTGCACCTAAAAGATCCCTTGGCAGTTGGAATTCAATATAAGATTAGGCTGTAATGCCACTGTCCCAGCAATATTTCTCTCAAAGCATACGGTATGCCCTTCTTCATTATCCTATTCAGAGCAGAACGTTAGGACGTTAAACCCCATTTCATTTCATTTCTAAGCTGCAGTTTGAAAGATTTTTACCAGTTGATATATTAAATTCGCATCTTTTAGTAAAGCTCTGGAAAGTGATAAAAGGACGACCCTTATACTAGAACAACTGATGCTTAGTCAGTGGGCTTGGAAAAGGGTGTACCGGTACTGGCTCTGGAAACATAAAGGATGAACCAAAATAAAAAGCCAAAAGATCTGAAACCAAAACATTAAAGATGTTATTAACAAATGGCAAAGTGTGGAATATAGAATAATGCATAGATCACAGAAGGATTGTTAACTTGAATGCCCTGCAGCTGAAACAGTAAGCTGTTTCACCATCAAGGAATACACAATGCTAACCTGGTCTGATCAGTTACTGGTACATGTATTGTATAATCTAGAAGACAATCAAATTTTAATTACTTCATGGTTGTTCCCCCATTACATACAAATGAATACATATGGACTGGTTGGATGACTTAGCTGCTCTGGGTTTCGTTAACCGGATGTTTTGTGCAATATAGCCAGGTTGGTGCTGACATGCCATTCAACTCCATTTCATTTCTTATTTAAGCAAATGATCAGAAACCACAAAAAGGGAAGACAAAGAAAATGTGTTAAAGCTGGAGTTGATGCACCTATAGGTGGCCATTATCCAATGAAAGTGACCAAAAAAACCAGATGTAAACAGTGTGCCAAATTCAGAAAACGTGCAGAATCATATTATCAGTGTGACATTTGTTTGGTAAATTTGTGCATTGTCTGTTTTAGATCCTACCATGATCCTTATTGATATATGTAACTATGACTGCTGTCTTTGTTAGCCAGAATGGAGCAGAATAGTAGGACGTTAAACCCAAATCAATTTAATTTCTATTGTGACTATTGTAATAACTCCATTGGTCTGGTTGGTACAGAAAAATAGGACGTTAAATCTAATTTCATTTCTATGTAGTATCAAGAT